GCAATCAATAAGTACCGTGGAATTTCTAACCGATCTTGGGGTGACCCCCACTATTCACCGGGCTTCGCGGCATCACATCACGAATAGTGGAACCATCTGAAACACCCATTTCGAGCGCCTCGGCTGGTATAAGGAAGAAGGTGAGAGTCGATGCAGCAGCTTTCTTCGGTTTTCTCGTACGATTGCCTCCACTATGTGCGTTCAAGGAGAAGCGATGGGAGCAGAAGGAAGCGCGTTCTGGGACGTTTCTCTCTATCACCTCGAACTTTCGTCTTTCCTGTTCGCACAACAGCGGACACACGTGAAAGGATACGCTTTCTAAACGGCTGTTGAGATTCCTGCTCGATACGACGATCCTCCTTCTGCCGTCGCTCTCCATAGTGATAACAGAAAAAAAAGATGGGTATCGGAGCGCAAGAAAAAAGAGGAGAGAAGGTTAGGCCAACGAGGCGAATCACGCCCGCGAAACAGTTCGTATGCAGGAAACCCAAACGCCGTTGCAAAGGTAGGCTTCTTTGGTATTTACAATATAGAATACTGTATAATGTACAGAGATTACGTCCAGCAGTGTCTTTGTATCGAGGGTGGGGGGGGGGGGAAAGCACAATATCCTTGTCCCAATTCTTAAAAACAATAATCATACTCTGCTGCACAAACGTAGCTGCACTTTTCGTGAAGGAGAAAGACTCCTAATGGCATAAGCTTCGAGCAATTAAGTAATTGGGACACCAAAACGAGTCTTTCTTTTCGCTTAGCTAATTGGGTGACAACTTTTGGATCACTCATCATGGGAGAAAAAATGCCTCTACAATACCGAAACTTGGAGATTTGAACCCTGAGCTAGGATTCTGGTCAAAATGAATGTCTGCACTAGCACTGAAACTCTATTTTCATCCGGCGTTGTTCCGAATTCATGCTTTTCCTTCAAGGCCAAGATTTCGAAAAAAACAAACTCGAGATCCCATTGAAAACTAAAGATTCACGTCGGCGAAGTGCGGATTTCCTTTCGCATGGGGGAAGAAAGGAGAACACGTTTCCTCCAAAACCCTGAGTAGAACATATCGACGCCGCAACCACATTTTTCCGCATGCAATGCGAATTTGTGGATGAAAGCAGATATGAGTTTTCCCGAGATGCGCCCATTTTTAAAACTAATCACTTACTTCCCAAAAATTCTTCTCCAAAGATGTCTGAAAAAGACCATCCATGGTGTACCAAACCATCTAATCGTTGACCACAAAAGGTAAAATCACGTTACTCACCCCGGCTACGTAAAAATTTGCACCATAGGCAGCATGAGGAGGAGAGGGGAGCACAGAGAGAGAGGGACTATCACTACAGAAAGATGGAGATTTGGAGAGATTGCCAGGAATGTTTCGGTGTTGTAGATCGCGGGGCTGGCAGACCTAAGCAAACACGAAAACATCCAGTCGTAGATGAAGAAGTATGCAAGGAAGAGAAGAAGGGCTACGAGAGGATGAATGCCACCGTGGCAACAAGTGGCCCAGTACTTCAAGAGCTAAGTCGCGGACGACAGTGTGGCCAAAATGTGAAACCTCCAAAAAAGGTTTCAATAAAAGTTGCTGAGCGGAAGTTGATTATACAGTATTCTTTATCGGCATGGATGGAAATAAGAGCCATGCACAATGTATTGAAGACAGAATGACTTCTGATTGATTTAGTGTCACTTAATAATTGTGATCAGATCAATAAGTGTGATCTGTGAAAATACCGAATTTGATTTTTGGAATGTCAAACTGGAATGCATCTCAAATTTTCGGACGATAGTTAGCATATGCCCAGTCGAATTCGGCAACGGTTTTTTCAAGTAGTGAAATACTTTTTATTATCGATTTTTTCGTCCCCCTTTCAGGGGTGAAAATGAAAGCTAACACCCAGCCGTTCGAAACCATCCAGATATTATAGTGAGTCTCTTAGAGATTTTCGTAGGAGAGGCAAGACTACCCTGAGAATGGGGTTGCCATAGAGATAGAGAAGAGCGCCAATTTTCCGAATAATTTGCTTGCTTGAACTCTAGATGCTAAGCATAAATCCATATAGCCTAGTTGTGCCTTGTTTGAGCAAGGGGATTGCCATTAAGAGTCCTCGAGTGCTTAACCTTCCGGCATTGTTTTGTATTTTAGCGTTATAAGCGGCTATGTCACGTATCGAAGCTGCAATATAAAAAAACTTTGAAATTGAAATATATAAACCAAAAGAAACGTTACCAAAAAAAATTATGGCTCGCCCACCTAGTAGGAGTTGTGATGGCGTTATGTCCATCTTTCGCTGAACAACTCAACACCGCTTGAATATTATTAGCGTGTACTCGCCAACCTTTGAGCACTATGCACGTGCCACGTCAGGAATATGCCTATTTAAAATGAGAATTCTTCGAGGGCTGCTTCGTCATGATGAACAGGAATGAGAAACATCTCTGGGCAGAGACAGGATCCCAAAAACATACATTCGGAAACCGGTTCCAAACATTAGAAATCCTTTCTCCCTTTTTATGAACGAATGTGGCATTCAGGAAGATTATTTAGTACTTGGAAATTATTCTACTAAAGAAGACTAATAGTCCCCATCATTTAAATTCTTATCAATCGATAGCCTTGCTTTCTTGAATATTCAAGGTGTTAGAATGCATGGTGGACGTATGGCTTCTCTGTTACTTGGAAGTATATGACTAGTTGAGTTATATTCATTGGGTTCGGAGGAGGAAGTCCTTAGGCGAATTCCCAAACGCGAATGAAAAATGGCATAAAAGTGGTTGTTGCAAACCATCTTGTATATTTTGGCGACAATGACAGCACAAATGATTTGGTTAGGATGATGGTCTTCCGCATAATATGTCACAATTTCGAGAGATCTGGTTGCCTGAATTGGACCGATGTTTCTATCCAATCGGGTAATAATACTGTAGCATTCATCTAAAGCTCATGCAACTCGAATTCCACCATCAGTACAGACTGCTCTCCTTGAGGGAAAACTCGGTCTGCGTCAGTCCGTCTACGTTCATCTGTTTTCTTTTGCGCAGGCTTGCACCCTTTCAACGTCCCACAGCTTGCTGGATTAGACATCCTAAGTGTTGCGGTAAAGCCAGGAGAAAATGACCTAAACGGATCCGTAAACTATACAGGGTGGCTCAGAAAAATGTTACTACTATAATGGGAGAATATCGTTATGTTGGTTCAAATACTAATTTCAGATTTAATTGCAACGTCATAGTATTTATGGTTACGTTCTCATTTATGTGTAGATTAATGCGTGAATTTCATTCTATTTTCAAAACTTAGTATCTGATATTAAAGCACAAACTGACTTCCCGAACTTTTACTTCTTATTCAAGGTTTGTGGAATCATTTTTTTTGGATCACCCTGTATTGAAGGAATTGCTCAGGAGAGCATTTGTCGTTCGCGGAAAGGAAAACCCGTCCTGTGATCTGTAGATCTCCAACCTTCACCTTGGATAGTGATTCAATATTCTATTGATTCTATTCAGCTCGTGGTAGGAAGGGATGGTCATGCCAAGCACAAACGTCGGCGGAACGCTTATATATGCATACTGCCACAACTCCTGCTGGTGAGATGGTATATTTTAAGATAGGGATGGGCTTGAAGCTGTCATACTGTTTCTATCAGTGTACAAGTGCTGAGTAAGATAAACATTTAGGAAGAGGGATGTGCATTGAAGTGCCTACAGCAATAAGAGTTATTGTTCAGTCCATTGTTCAGGCCTTGATCATGAGCTTCAACTGATGGTTAAAGCAGTTTCGGCAAAGGCAAGAGGGGAACCACTTTGAGTAATTAGTGTCTGCAATTCCAAACCCTCAGCGGCTGTTTTAATTGGAAAATAAATCCAGAATCATGGTTTTGCGTTGATCCCCTCAATTAGAAAGCTGCAAGAAAAGGTGCAATGCTTCCTTCTTGTGTTACCACCAGAAATGGTTTCATTTGGTCACCTACTGTCGGTCCTACGACGGTTTTCATCGCCAGTTTGCTGCCTTTAGTGTGAAAATTACGCATAGCGATTTCGTCTCTCAAACGATCGACCGCACGTTCCGTGGTTACCGAGTATTCAGTGACTTTCGCTGTCGTAAATAAGGAGCTTGTAATCTTGCCCCAACTAAGTATAGACAAACATTGTCAAGTGTACTGGAATGTGAATAAGATATGAAGATCAAAGTACGTCTACTTTCATGTTCTCTTCACTTAAATGGCTACGGGCTTTGGGAGAGGTGGCGGGGTACTTCATGCACGCTATTCATCAGAGGTAGCTGGTAGCGTATCGTAGTGTATAGGGAAGGGCTTGTGAGGAAATGGGCTAAAAATTTTATGAGATTCCCGCTTGCATCGTCCATTTTAGATGGAAGAAGGATGCTGAGAAAGGTCTGGACGTATTCTATTTAAATGCTGTGCCCATCGCCCGGGGGTTGCTGAAGGAAAACTTCCTTGGTGACGAAGGAAAGTCTCTTACCTATAGGAGAGGTATTCTCCCTTCCACTTTCTGGAGGACACCTACGGGGGTAAACTCTCTCCATCGGTTTCCAGGAGTGCCGCTTGTTTTCCTACTTCGCCCTGATGGAAGTTAGGCGAGCCCTGTTTGTACAGCCATAAACGGAGTTATATTCCTAGTGCTCCCAGCCGTAACATTAGTCAATGTCCCTTTGAGTTCCTTTTCTCCCCACCTACTTTTGTGCGCAATCAAGAAAAGTATTCGAGGTAAATTGGACCATGGAAACTTATTCTGTAATATCTATTTTGATTCTTTTTTCTCGTGTCAAAAATTTCATCCCTGAAGAGGTTAACGAGACATTAGACCTCATACTTGAAGTGCCCATAATTGAAAGGCAGGATCAATATTTAGAATGAAGCTACGTCATGAAAAAATACGCTCAGAGAACATTTTCCTAGTGCTTCTAGATCTATAATCTGCAAATATGTATTATAATGGAATACCTTCATCTTTGAAAAATCCATTTCAGACGGATAATAATGGGCGAACAGAATGTCAAGGAAATGCACTTCTCAGAAAATAAAAAAGGTTGTCTGCAGGAATTTTTTACTTTCAAATTGATTCCATAGGAAAATTTTGGCGCCACATGATTTCGAGAGAAAGTAAAACTATCAGGGATGAAAAAAAACTGAAAAGCAAGGAAATTCATATTACATTCTTCAATAAACAAGGATATTTAAAAGTGGAGCCCGAGATGGCAGGTGACGGATTTATTTGCCAGCGATCTTGCTCTTAACAAAATCGCCAAATTTGACGGCTCCATCGTGATTGAGTTCAGCATAGCCTTTCATCTCCTCCTTGCATTTGGCGAACCATTCCGACAGATGCTTGTACTGGGCCAACTCCACCACACCCGCCGCCTTCACAGAGAAATCCATCCAATCTCATCATTAGGAGGGAGACCAACTTATAGAACGTAATAAGCATATGTCCTTCCAAATTCGGCAACGGCCGTTTCAATTTCTGGAGCGCTCCCCTCTCCTCCCAGTTTTTCCATTCAATTTCGGCAGGTGTCTTTCGATTTTGGCATCCACCGTTTCAATTTCGGCAGCGCAAGGGAATTTCCTGTTTTGGGTAATTAACATGGGTATGGGGAATAGGGAAGGAAAGAACACAAACGCATAGGGTACTTTCGGCGAATAATCATTATTTTTTCATGCAAACGAAACACATGGGCATTGACACTAATTCTACCCATCGGTACGTTCTCTCCTTTGGCATCTGATCAAGTATGTTAGTGCATGACGAAACCACGCAAAGCACTTATGATGGGTGACTTGGGCACGTTTTGTCGGATTCAAGAAAGGAGAATATGCCGGCAGAAACTTCCCGTGAACGTTAGGAGAGTCACGTGGGACCGAGACTCCTTTGTGGGGTCTAGAATTATCCATGATGACAAGAACTGGCTGATCTGGTGGCAAACTTGCGTGTTAATGTCTTAGGAGCTCTTCAAAGAATTCCTGAAGCATCGAGGATGTGACACCACCCTGTTGTTCCTTTGCGATATGAGATTATTCCAAGCAGGGAAACGAACACGAACATGTCCTACGTGGAGGACTCGCAGGAAGGAGCAACCGATTTCGAATATTCAATTCCGGTTTGTCATCGTGGATAATGCTAGACCCCACAAACGAGTCTCGGTCACCCATCATAAGTGCTTTGCGTGGTTTCGCCTGCATTAACTTACTTGATCAGATGCCAAAGGTGAGAACGTACCGATGGGTAGAATAAATGTCAATGTCCATTCCTTTTCCTTTGCATGATAAAAATAATAATTATTCGGCGAAAATATCCTATGCCTTGGTGCCTTTCCTTCCCCATTCCCCATACCCATGTTAATTGCCTAAAACAGGAGATTCCCTTGCACTGCCGAAATTGAAACGGCGAATGCCGAAATCGAAAGTCACCTGCCGAAATTGATTGGGAAAACGGGGAGGAGACAGATGTGCTGCCGAAATGGAAACAGCCACTGCCGAATTTGAAAGGACTTATGCCGAAATTCGTCGGGAAAAACCATGATATTCATAGCTGCCTTCCAAGGTACTTCTCTAAGATACTTCTTTAAGCAATAAAATAGCACATCCAACTTTCAGCTATACGTAATCAGTATCGATAATGAAGAGTGTGATATAAGAATCAATTATAAAAAGGATTTTACGGATGAAGTACATAATTCACAATTTATCTTCGTTAGAAAAAAATGTCCCACAAGGGTAAAACCATCTAAAGCAGTACTAAGTTTGGACGCTATCATGCACATCGTTCACATGACATCGCTATCATGCAAAAAAACAAAGCATTGGTGAGCTCTCTCTAAGAAACAGTTCTCGCAGTTTGGAAAAGCTGCTTCTGAGGATGACCTCGTAAATGCTTTGTTTTTCATTCATTTTATGGTGTCCGAACTTAGGTACTGTCGGAACTTAGATGATTTTACCCTACTCCTCACAGGATTCGGTGCCAAGTGAAAAAAGCCGAACCTCAATCGAAGCAACGGTGGCGATTATGGCGAAATCCGCAAGGGTGACGTGCTTGCCGGCACAGTACCCGCCGGACTTTTGGATGAATCCGTCCAGCCAGCCCAGGGCCTCTTCCAGTTTCTTCTTCTTCTCGGGATCCAGAGTGACGTCCTTCCCCATCACCGGGGACTGAAAACACAAAAACCAGATGGAAAATCACTTGCAGAAATCTCTCCTTTAAGTTTCTTCAAGTCTAGCTCCCTTTCGTTTCGAAATATAGAAAGGGCAAGAAAATAAAAGGTCCCATCAAACGTATAAGACATGGCTACATGAAGGTGAGAATCGACCATGCATACCCATCTGTCGACAGGACTCCAGGGACGAGATCAGATTTTGCATTCACTTGTTTCAAAAGCTTACGTTTTTAGCATTTCTACACCACGTTTTAGGATTTATCCTTTGGCCTGTTAGCCCCTTTCTATAGCTAACATAATAACCTTTAATCAAGTGGAACCGAAGAGGGCGAAATGTACACACATTTTTTACGAATCTATATGAAAACGATGTATCTATCTATCAAAAATCTATTCATCATATAGAGAGCAAGTGCAGGAAAAAAAAGTTGGCCCTATTGCTCACTTAAAATGCCTTGTTCAAACACAATTCCAAACCCGTTCCAAATAACGAGCAAGAAGGACTCTAGCGTTAACGTTCATAAAACCACATCCATTTATTGATAATGAAAATATTAGATGTTTCCCGCGACCTATTTAATGATTCAGCCACTATCTTATTAATGGGAGTGCTTACGATGTATTCGCCGAATCGATGGTAGAGAGTGCCCATGTCGAAGTAGAACCTTTGCTCAACGATTGCTCGGGCTTTGGGGTCCTTCGGATACAGACTGTCGTTCTTTCCATACTTGTTCGCCAGGTAGGTCATGATGGCGCGGCTACATGGGACATCACATTGAATATATCATTACAACCTTGAACTCACGAAATCTGACATCTTGGTTTTTTTTTAATAGAGACAGAAGGATTTTGAAACGTTTTCGTGCTGTTACATACGATAGACCAAAGGTTTCTCGCAAATTTTTTGGTACCCCGTTACTCAGTGAAATGACTGGAATGGCTGATCCAAATTCAAAAAGGCAGAAAGGCTTATGTTTCGGATCTCTGGAAAGTGCGGATTCCCATTTTCCACAGATTTCCCGGCAGAAGTAAGACATATTCTGAAAATACATAATTAAAAACTATTACTCCCGAAATATCCAGTTGCTTATGCAATACTTAAAATGGACATACGAGGTATGTAGGAATGTGTATAGATGGTAAAGTGGTCTCACCTTTCCCAAAGGTGGAACCCGTTGTCGTCCATGGTAGGGATCGTATGCTGGGGATTCATCTGCGAGAAGAGAATTTATTTTGAAGGACGTGTGAACCGCCCCGATTTCGGAGTATTATCTGCTAAATCATGTCAGCAGTCAGTGTGCTGGATAGATTCATTTCCTTTCCCTTACTTTTCAGGTGGGATTCTAGAGTTTTCTAGATTTTTCTAACCCTTTTTTGGGTTGAGGTGTGAATGGAATACATTAAAAAAGGGTCTATGGCGGTAAAATTGCTTACGGCAATATATTCAGGAGTCATGTGTTCCCCATTGAGAAGGTTGGTGATTTTGCAGTTGAGCTCCACACCCAATGCCTTGGCCGTGAGCAGGACACTCCTGCACGGAGCACTCATCGGCATATAATAGTAGTCGATTTTCATCTTGGATTTCTGTATCTGCGAAAAAACAAACTAATATTCCAGTGAAGGTCGTCTCCATTTGTTTTAAGGAGTAGCGGGCAAGTTTAATGACAAGGCGGTTAAATGGGGGAGGGGGGGGGGAATATGCCAATGCCCTGCCACGGTATGTGGCTTGTCACGAGATGCGAAGGAAAGTAGCCTAGACATGGAATTTCATACTGCAACCTTTACCTTTAAAACTTCCGAAGGGTTCTTCACTTAGCTTCATATTTCCCTTGCTAGTAAATTTATTACGTAAAACTACTCCTGAAGAATACTACTCAAGAGTAATTCCATTAGTGATGAGCAAGAAGAAAGAAAAAATAAAGTCAGATAGAAAGATGTCCTAGATCCCAACAGAAGCAAAAGAAGTATAGAAAATGTGGGAACTCACAGTTAAGAGATAAGCAACACTTCAGACTTCGTAGCAGAAGACGAATGCACGGATGGAATGGACGAGCGTACCTCCGACAGCGATGTTGGTAAGGACGGGACTGCGGGAGCAACGAAGCGTTCATCCCGTCTTATACCCAAGGGCTTCACACAGCTCGTACCACGCTGGAAATGGAAGGTTCTGGAAAGTCGACTTCCATTGTGCATGGCCCTGCCAGATAAGGTCTTCACCACTCCATTATAGCAGCGATGACTTGACGTTTTTATTCGTCCGGAAGTAATGACCATGGTGTCGTCGACAAGTTTCTACTTGTTTTGTGGGGCTAGAAGTGGCCGGAAGCTGGGAATTTCTCTTTCGCCTCTTTTCTGTCTTTATATTACGGTTCTCAAATTGCATGAATATGTCTGGTCGAGGGAGCGGTGCATGATATAGAACTTATTCCATTAATAAATTACTTGCATACGATTACCTTTGCCTACATTTTCCTTTATTAATCATGTCAGATACTTTCATACGGGTATAGAGGAGGAGAGCGTTGCAACTGCACCGGAAGAATCGAAAGCATTGACATGGTACATGGTGTTATTGTTCCTGCGTTTTTGTTCCCTGTCGCTACGTAACGGTGCAGTGCCGTAATAAGGGGTGTGGGAACGGTGCCCCCGCACAGGGCGCCGAACTGAGGGAGGCGCCGATTGCCTGCCAGATTATTGCAAAATATAAATAAAACTTATAAAAATTGCAAATTATCCTGAATTTAACTAAATTAAACAGAAATTAATACGTAATGTATTGTTGGTGCTGTGGAAGCTGGAAAGATACAGGGGGGGGGGGGCGCTGGACTGATATTTCGCACAAGGCGCCAAGTATCCTCGGTACGGCGCTGTAACGGTGGATCAACGTGGCATCAATAGGTGCAATTGTGCCTATTCCCTTTCCTTAGCACCTTCACGTTATAAAATTCCACAATCTCCTATTCCTTTCCGTATGCATCAGGGGGAACGAAATTGGGAATATTTCTGCCTCTCAAAATACAGAATCTCTCCAGCTAATTTGAAGCTCCATCTCCCCGGTGTTGGGAAGAACACAGAATCTTGTTCCACTAACCCCACCAAAAATAAAGATTTGGACTTGGAGAGCGAGATGTGTGCCCTTCCCGTTGTTGCGATGCACTACTTCCCTGCGAAAAGCGAAATTAGCTGTCTCCAGTCTCCCGGGTTTTGTGATAATTGAATATTCCACTCAACGTTTAATAAACCTGAAAATGCGTTGTTTGTGTATATGAAGCCAGAAGGAGCTTAACCTTTAATGCATTATTTTTTCTTTTTCGGCGAAAAACTCTAGTAGGTATTACTTAGGCTCTAGAACATGGAAAAAGTGGGTAAACAATTATTTACTAAGCTTTGTATGTAGTAGGCCAAGATATGTTATTGCTGTACATTTGCTGCAAACAACATTTTTAGCTTTCTAATCCAGGCTGCATGGAGGCTCAGTCGGTCAGTCAACATTCGTAAATACCTCAACGCAGAAGAAAATGTAACAATACGGGTGAACCTGGACCCTGGATTAGCGTAAAGCTGAAATCCTACTGGTCGAAAATTGCACCCCAAAAAATTCAGTCTCAATTTTCGAGCTCATATTTTTCGCATTCAAATACAGACTTACTACGCCACCTTCTTGGGAGGGCACGGCGGTCTAGTTTAAGTGCTAGTATCACAATCCGCTAGACGAAGGTGCCGCAGGTGCCATTCCGGGCACGGTAAACCTCCGACCTCACCCCCTTTGTCCTGACCTCCTCAGGTTCGCAGAGTACATCTCTCGACACTCTCATATAATAATAGTAATAAATTCAAAATACCCTTACCAGGCCTCCATTGACTTGAATTTTTCGGTGTCTGTTCATGATCGTGCGAGAGAGAGCGAAAGAGCTCGGTCATATCGTAGAATTCTTGGGGCGTTGTAAGACAGAGAGACCGTCATTTCTTTTATTCTGACCCTCAGGTGTTAAGACAATCAAATTGGATGAACTGCTAGGACAATCTCCGAAATCTTGATTTTATTTTCCTTTGGTATCCAGCCGTGGAAAAAATTCAAGCGGTCAACCTCATCAAAAATCAATTATCAGCCATCTTGTGAACAATCTGGTTGAGTTCATAAAGAAAATATGGAGTTCATAAATAATTTTTTTTTATCAATGTGAAAGCTCTACTCTCCTCAGAAACAACGTAGCAGTCTTCAAGATAATCTTTGATTCATTCAGAAATTTTCCGATCTACCCTTTAAGGAGAAACTGTTCCATAGAACCCCTTTGCACGGCCCCTGATCTGATGTGGCAAGGTCAGGTTCCGTTATGATGTTATCCCCCCCATCTTATTTATTTATTTTTTTGAAACAAGAAAAACAAGTATATCATTATCGTTATAAAGCAAATAAGGAAAGATCAGTACAAACATTCGGACAAATTAAAATATTGAGAAATTGCTTGTTAGAGTTATTACACTACTTCAACTATTATGAACACGTCGGATTTGAACTCGGACTTGAAGAAGAGAATGGTGGCTTGGAAAGAGATTTAGAAGCCGAGCACGTGGACAAATATTGCGTAAAGAAAAAAGGATCTTGAGCTACATCCGGCTGTCAATTACTGATAAGAGTTACTGATAATGCGCGATAAGCGCATTCACGGCACAGGTGAGGTTCCATTCGGAGTTAGTAATTCAATTTGGAAAGCAAATAAAGGTGCTGGAGAGAGTTCAAGAAGAGCCACTAAAATCTTAATCGAATCGGTACGTCAAATTTCATACGAGGGTCGTTATGGCGCATTGTGACTGAATTTGCTCGAAAGGGAATGAGTTGGAATTTAATTTTGGATCTTTAAAGGCATTGATAGCTTGTTAGAGTTCTCAAGCTCAATAAATATAACTCAACGGGGGCACCTGTTCAAGTTACGGCAGTCTCAAGGGACGGAATGACGTTTTTCACTTGTCGAGTGAATGCAGAGTGAATTTAGAAAAGTTTTGGCTGTCCTTACCGAGGACAGCTTTTCAAACGCAGTTCCAGCCGACTTCCACGATTGATTTCGCTACTTTCAAGACTTTTAGCTGCTAAGAAGAAAATATGTACCTGCTATGATTTTATTACTATTATCGTGACATTTTCACAACATACTCAAGAAAGGTGAGGTAAAATATGGGGTGAGTTTAAGGAAAAGGAAACACGCAGCATCCGCTATATTACATTCACTACTTAACATGTTCTCTGTCGTTCATGGTAAAAGTTGATTTAACGTTCAAGAAATTCATGTTAAATCTGCTGCTATCGAGTTAACTCGATCTAGTCCAAGTATCAGTTGCTTTGTGAGGGGCAACAGATGGTCTTGTCTACGGTTCAATCACATCATTCCAGGTAACAGATACTGCAAATTAAAATAAATATGCCTCTAAAAGAAATATCCTTAAAAACATCGACTAGGGCCTTCAGAGACAGCCAAGGAATGTGCTTATAGACTCGACCGAAAATGAATGGAAATGTAGCTACTGACCAGGGCTCCAATTTGGGTGTAACCAAAGTGTAAATGCACCTGTTGACGTACAAGTGTTCCCAATAACAGATTCAATTTGGACTCTGACTGTTTTGAAGACGCAAAGAAGGAATGAACATTCTTTTAGTGTATTTTTTTTTAATTAAAGCTTTCATTTAAGCAGCAACTTTGCCAGAATATCACTCTTGGTGAGGTGGAAGATAAGGAGGAAGGTAAAACCTGCGCTCCACAATTTTTTGTGAAGAACTCGCCTTAATGAAACAAATCTAAATGGATTGTTTCAATCCAAGTCCAAGTAAGACAATGCTAATTTTCAGGTCACTGTTTAGTCTACTTGCAAAGAAATGCCTTACACATGAATTTTGCAAAGATGCGTGTACAGGGTACAATCGCTGGAACTGAAGATCTTCCTGGAATGCTGACTTCTGTTTATATTGATGAGAAATCTTTATGTCCAGGGCTGGGGCTGATTGAGGCTGACCTAGTAAGGATTCGTCGGTATGCATGCTCTTATAACACTGGATGGAGACTTATGACAGGAAATGCATACATATCGTCCGTTCCCTGAGCTTCCCTTTTTGTTATGGGTTTTAAGCTCAGAGAGACAAAACGGCTATCGAGGAAAGACACCAGAGAAGAACTTCGAAGACTATACCAAGACGAGAGAGTACCAGCCCAGGTGCAGATCTACCATTCCACTGTCCCCTAAATAACTGGAATTATCTTCGCCGCATCCTAACCATCCAATTATCAAGAAATATATGAATCAAAGTGGTTACAGCAATAAGAGTTCTGGTTCAGTTCACTGTTCAGACCTTGATCATGGGTTTCTACTGATGGCTAAAGCAGTTTAGGCATCGGCAAGCGATGATCTACTATGAGTAATAAGTGTCTGCTATTCCGAACTCTCAGCCGTTGCTTTAAATGAAAAAAAAATAAATTCGGAACCATGGTTTTGCGTTGATCCTCCTATTTAAAAGCTGCAAAAAAAGGGTCCATTCCTTCCTTTTTATGTTACCCCCAGAAATGGTTTCGTTTGGTTAACTCCTGTTGATCCCTCGACGGTTTTCATCGCCAGTTTGTTGCCTTTAATGCGAAATTTTCGATTGCGATTTCGTTTCTCAAATAGTCTACCACGCATTCCCTGCATACCAAATACTCAGTCGCTTTCGCTGTCGTGAAAAAGGAACTTGTAATGTCGCCCCGACTAAATATAGGCAAATATTGTCAAGTGCATTGGAAGGTGAATGGCCGATAAGATATGGAGGTTAAAGTACGTCTGCATTTATGTTCTTCTTACATGAATGGTTATGGGCCGTTGAAGAGGTGGGGGAGGTGGGTGTACTTCATGTGTGCTCGTCTGCTCTTCAGTGGTAGCTAATAGCGTAGCCTGGCATTCTTGGGGGGCTGAGCAATTTTTAAGCCCCCTTTTATCGTCCTTTTTTAATGGAATGTGGACGCTAAGAAAGTTCTCGACGATTCCTTTTTTCTGTTGTGCTCATCGAGTAGGCTCCCCCCCCTTCTCGATAAGCTCTCCAGTTGCAGAAGGAAAACTTCCTTGGGGACAAAGGAACGTCACTTACAATCACAAACATAGAAGAGGTATACTCCTTCCACCTCAGGAGACAAACTTCATCCATTGGGTAGCAGGAATGCCGCTTGTCTTCTTATTTCTTCCCCAATGGAAGTTAGACAAGCCCTGCTTATACTGCCATGGAAGGAGCCGTAACATTAGTCATGCCCCCCTGAGTTCCTTTTCTCCCCATCTTCTTTGGTGCGTTAGGCAAGAAAATAATCCGGAGTAGATTAGACCAGCGAGGCCCAAACTTTTCAGGTCGTGCACCCCTTTTCATCCGGTCACACCCCCCAATCCCCCCTCCTTCCCCACTCTACTGGTTCCGTTTCTTCAGAAACTGACTGTAATTTCGGCTAAATTGGCGCGAAAAAAGAAACACGAATACATGTTTTGTAACATAATTTAAACTTATTAAAATCATTGCTATTGAGAATAATGCAATACCACAAAAACCAGAAAAATACGGTTACCGGCGGTTTTGTCGCGGTCTAAATGGTCATGGACAGTTCGTCGTGGACAAAACGTCGCAAGCCCATTTCGTCGTTGCACTCTTTCGTTGCAGACGCAGATCGTTGCAGTTCCCTTGTCTAGGGATCATTTCGGCGGGGAAGGGGGGGGGGATGATGTCATATGATAACATCTGCACCCAAGCAAGAATCTGCATCTGCATTTTAGAACTCTCCCAGATGTGGGTTCTATTGAATTATATTCAATAAAATACACCTGTCGTCTATCGCAACTCTTGAATTCGTAAAACTGTCATAAGTCTACAGTGTGAGTCGCTCTCTTGTGCATACCTCCTAAGACCAATTTGTTGCAGAATTCAAATGTCTTCCTCTGTGGTGTCTATGAGGGGAAAGACCGGACATTGCAAGAATGTATTGGAGACTAATTCCAGCTGTATGGGGTACTGACTCGTTTTTGGAGCTACTTTTTCGACATCTAGCGTCAGTTGTGTGAATCTTCGTTCCCAGCCACTGTCAGATGGATAGCACAGCTATGCTAAAAAAATACCTTTTGAACGTTCAACGAACGTCCTTCAAGAACGTCATGAATTGACGATCAAACGCCACCTTAAATGGGCATCCAAAAGCTGCTCATCCTCGAACCATGAACGTCAAAGAGCTCCTTTGAGCTAGGGTTGAGCGTCCTCCTGAACGTTCATGTGTTACTTGGGCTAGAACAGGGGTCGGGAACCGTTTTGACCATGTGAGCCATGTTAAGATTGAGGTAAGTGCTTGTGAGCGGAAGATTTTCAGAACAATCGAATTTTTCATGAAGTTAGCAACAGGTATATGCATACGATACATGAGAAAAATGAGGAACAACCATGACTTTCAATCATGGCTCAATGAGCCAAACTTTTCGGCTCGTGAGCCTAATTTGGCTCATGAGCCAAATTAGGCTTCCTGACCCCTGGACTAGAATGACTCCCTCACATCACATAAAAAGATACACTCCAATAACATTTTCCTAGTGCTTTTAGATCTATCATTTGCAAGAATAAACAAAAAATTCAAATATTTATAAAGGGCGAACTTCATCATCAAACAATCCATTTTTGGTAGTGAAATTAGACGTGAAATTTCTTGAAAATTCAGCATAAAAAGTTTTCAAGAAAAAAGCACAAATAAAAAAGTTTTCTGCAGGAATGTTTACTCTCAAACCGGCTCCATCGGAAAATGAAAACTTAAGCGCTACCGGATTTCAGACGATGAAAATGTAAAAGGGATGCATGTAAAAAAAAAAACGAAAAAAACGGGGAGGTTCATTCTACATTCTTTAATAAATAAGGAAATGGAGTCCATGATGACAGGATCTATTTGCCAGTGAGCTTGCTCTTAGCAAATTCCCCGAATTTGACGGCTCCATCGTGATTGAGTTCAGCGTAGCCTTTCATCTCCCCCTTGCATTTGGCGAACCATTCCGACAGATGCTTGAACTGGGTCAGATCCACCACATCCACCGCCTTCACAGAACAATCCATTCAATCCCATCATTAGGAGGGAGACCAACTTATAGAACGTAATAAATATAGATTTTCCCGACGAATTTCGGCAGAAGTCCTTTCAAATTCGGCATTCTCGGTTTCAATTTCGGCAGTGCTAGGAAATCTCTTGTTTTTGGTCATTAACAAGGGCATGGGGAGCAGGGAAGAAAAGGGTACAAACGCATGCGGTATTTTCCGAGACTAATACATATTTTATTATGCAAAGGAAAATCATGGACATTGAAAATGATTCAAGTCATCAATAGGTCCTCTCTTTTGGCATTCGATCACAGTATGTTTGTGCATGGCGACACAACGCAAAACACTTCTGATGGGTTACTTGCCCAACTGCTGTCTCTCCCATTTCGAGCAAGTTCTTCTTGGAAGTCTTGATTATTATTCTTGATTAAACTTGATTAAACTGGCTATATGTGAATCCGAATATTCAAGGTGCGTTCCTGGATCGGACATTCCTGGAAGCAGAGAGGTATATTCGCTCACCCAAACAGGCACAGATGTCATTGTACGTTCTCATCATTCCCAGGAATAGGATTGCTACATTATCGAATAAAATAGGAGCGTGTCATATCTTCGACGTTTCAGGAATTCTTTGAGGAGCTCCTGAGACATGTACACATTACTTGGCCACTAGATGAACCAGTTTATGTCATCATGGATCATGTAAGACCCCACAAACGAGTCTCAGTCCCAGATGACTTTCCTAACGTTCACGCAAAGTTAAGGCAGGAATATTCTCATTTCTTGAATGCGACAGAACATGGCCACTCTCCATTCAAGGCAGCGGTCAAAAGTGAGTTGCACCCTCCTGAAATACAGGTAGAACTTGGACGATGAAGTCTGGAACGGAACTTGCCGCTAAGTCGGGCAGAGAAGCTGCTCGAAATAAGAGAGGCAACAGTTGGGCAAATAGCCCATCACAAGTGCTTTGCGTGGTGTCGCCATGCATTAACATACTTTATCAGATCACAAAGGAGATAACCTATCGATGGCTTGAGTAATTTTCAATGTCCATGCATAATAAAATTATCATTATTCGCCGAAAATACCGTATGCGTTTGTTCTTTCCTTCCCTGCTCCCCATACCTATGTTAATGATTAAAAACAAGAGATTCCCTCGCCCTGTCGAAATTGAAACGGCGGATGCCGAAATCGAAGCGGAAAATCGGGGGAAGACAAGAGCGCTGCCGAATTGGAAAGAATTTATGCCGAAATTCGTCGAGAAAACCTATATTATCCATAGCTACCTTCAATGTATGATATGTCTCTAAAAAATAAAATAGGACATCTAACTTTCAGTCATATAAAACCAGTACTGATGATGAAGATTGTTAGTGAGGATCCAATTATAAAAGGATTACAACGGATGAAGCACATAATCCTCAACTTATCATCGTTCGGAAAAAAAAATAGTTCCCATTACTCCACCAGGATTCGAAACTGTGAGCAAAAGTCGAACCTCAATCGTAGCAACGGTGGCGATTATGGCGAAATCGGCAAGAGTGACGTGGTTGCCGGCACAGTACCCGCCGGACGTGTGGATGAATCCGTCCAGCCAGCCCAGGGCCTCTTCCAGTTTCTTCTTCTTCTCGGGATAGCAACGGTGGCGATTATGGCGAAATCGGCAAGAGTGACGTGCTTGCCGGCACAGTACCCGCCGGACGTGTGGATGAATCCGTCCAGCCAGCCCAGGGCCTCTTCCAGTTTCTTCTTCTTCTCGGGATCCAGAGTGACGTCTTTCCCCATCACTGGGTACTGAACACCCAAAGAAACCAGATGAAAAATCCCTCGCAGAGACCTCTCCCATATGATTCTTCAAGTCTAGCTCCCTTTCGTTTCGGAGTACAGAATGGGCAAGAAAATAAAAGGTCCCATCAAACGCATAAGGACATGGCTCCATGAAGGTGAGAACCGCATACCTCATCGCACCGCATCGCATACATATCGCAACATGCATACCCATCTATCGACAGGACTCTCGGGACGATATCAGAATTCGCGTTTTTTCGTTTCTAGTGTATCTCCAAGATGTTTAAGGATTGATCCTTTGGTCAGTGTACCAAAGCAAGTATAATAATCCTGTAATCAAGTGGAACAGAGGAACATGAAATGAACATGCAAATTATTTTGATTCTATATAAAACAATTTATCCACCTATCAAAAATATGTTCAACATATAGATCGCAAGTACCGCCAGTTGCTTGGTCCTATCGCTCATTCAAATACCATATCCAATTATTATACCATACCCGTTCTAGAGAACGAGCAAGAAGGACTCCAGCGTTATCGTTCATAAAGCGACATCCATTTATTGGTAATTAAAATTTTAGATTGTTCACTATTTTCATATCTTTCATAGGGACAGCATGAAAATAGTGGCTGAATCATCAAATATTAGGTTGTCATGTTCCAGCGTCTTAGTGGTTTCGGTGGTATTCAACCCTTTTCGAATAAAAAACTTTATCGATGCTCGATGCTCGATGTTCGACATTTCTGAGTAGGCACGGTTGTGAAAACCAATTTTTTGTAGAAAGGAAATGATGCAATCAGGTCAAAAAGGGGTAAATCAGGGTATAAATGCACGCTCTGCACGGCAGGAACGTAGTCAGGAATTGTTTAAGGGGGTGTCTTGTGCGGCTCTTTTAGGCTCCTGATATGACAAAGAGGAAGATAAGTGGTTGGGAGGTATGACAAAAACTTTGAAAATCCTTTTGCATACATTTTGGGAGGACTCTTTTTTTTTAACAAACCATCTTTCTTTCCGCACCACTTTTGGACGAGTGGAAAGATTGGTATCGCCCTTCAAATAGTTAGGTAGATGAAAAAATCCAATCGATGAATTAAAAATTCTTCGAAACCAAGAGTTCAGCTATGAATTTTAGGTTTGGTAGGCATACACAAGCATTGTTTAAGTGTCTCTCGTGACCAGAACTATGGGTAATGTCGATATTTGGTAGGGTTTGCCTTTCCAAATATCAACGGAATCTACAGAAAACTGATTGAAGAAAATTAGTTAAGATCAGCCTTGAAAAATTTTCCTGAACTTTCGCCAACCAGGCAGCATTTTTCCATGTCCCGCCCTCCCGACTGCCAAAAACGCTGTTCCTGCACAGAAAGATCAAGATCAATTTCTATGTGTGTCTAGGTTATCACAATGGACGATGCTGACTCGCACTCGAGGAGTACCAGACGTTAGCTCGCACGAAAAGGGGTTCTTGACTTTCCTTTGTTTCCTTTCTTTCGTCAGACCATTTTATTTTCATTAGCCAGCCTGTTTTTTTCTTGCTCACCAATCCGCCTAACGTACTCACCGTGGAGGAGTGAGTATTTTACAAGTTTGGCATAGGTATTGGTCAAACCAAGCACGAGAAACTGAGAGTTCCATTTAAATACATATTTTTTCAACTATAAAGCCAGGATGAGTGTCAATGAGGAAATGAGAGCCTGAGCGTGCAGAGAAGGTTGTAGGGACGCAAGTGGCTGGACGGAATATTCTCCCATGTCAGCATTTTCCTTAGTCTTGTCATTCTTATCCCCTCAGCAAGTAATTTCACTCGGAGACCGCTCAAAGGCCTGAGGCTGTTAGCACGTAGCCGGATTACCAGCTTGAGGGGCCGATCACATTTACAACTGACATTGTAGGTGAGGCGTAAAACTTCAACAGAACTCTGAACTTTTACGCCTCTTTCACCTTTTAAACATAACTCTTAACCAATACTCTTTCAATCGCTCTACTGAAAGGAGTCCGATTCCAGCAGCAAACCGTTCTTCAAGAGTAACTTTCACCCACTGGCTCATGCGAAGACAATCCCTGACCCATAACAATAGAGAAGTACCTAGGACTTTCTCCAAGTACCTAGAATTTTCGAGGGCTCATCTTAGGCTTGGTGGTGCACCAGGGCAGTTCCACCCCCATTTCGCCCTTGTCACCTTTGCTGAGACTTCAACCCCACCCACCTCATAGTTCATAATTGCCCTTTCGCTTCGCAAAATCTCATATTTTCTTGCATGGAAAGAGATATGGGTCGGGGATTGATTTTGAATAAGACATAAGCTGGCTGATGGAGGCTATTCCAATGCTCCTATACAATGCTCCCATACAAGTTGGATGAGGTGGTTTTCATCCCGAATTGCCTCAGTATACACGTGTTTACACAATATTTCCTCCCATATTAATCCAGATAATTGAGGTCAAGTGAATTTGGGAGGCCACATGTAAGGTCGCACAAAGTCAGGGATACTTGGACAATTGCTTTACAAACCGGTGGTTTATTATTTATGGGAAAAATGTGTTAACACGTGTATACTGAGGTCCTTTGGGGTGAAAACCACCTCATCGAGTGTGTTAATGAAATTTGCCAACTCCTGGATTAAGCCGAAATAAACAAAGCGATCCATCCGTGCAGATGGCGAGTTATATGCATTGATCAAGATGGGGGACACTTTAAAAATTTGCTGTAATTCCTGGAGACTTAGAGCTCAAACTAAATTAACATTTTCTTGACATGAAGAAATACTCCAAATCATCACCAGTAATACAACTTGAATTCATCCAGTGGTCTTGTAAAATTAATTGATAGCCTTGGGGTCCAATATTTTTCTTACCACCCTGTATTCAAAATGTGAAATAGGAGTGCAAGTCTAAGCATCTGTTGTACATGTGAAACTTTTCTCATTCTCCCCCCCCCTTTACTCCCGTACTTATGTACTCGTAACATTTTGCTTCATTTCGGGGGATGTCCAGACATCCAGGACACCCCCCCCCCCCCCGGCTACGTCCCTGCTACACGATGGTGTCAACTAATCATTTCATGCATGCGGTTCCGGTTCAGTTGCATCGACTTTCCGGACAACTTGATAGGTCGCGAGAAACTAGCAGACAACATCTTAAATTTTCATTCTGCCCAATAGATTCCTGCGACCTATTTAATGATTCGGCTACTATTTTATTAATGGGAGTGCTTACTATGTATTCGCCGAATCGATGGTAGAGAGTGCCCATGTCGAAATAGAGCCTTTGCTCAACGATTGCCCGGGCTTTGGGGTCCTTCGGGTACAGACTGTCATTCTTTCCATACTTGTTCGCCAGGTAGGTCATGATGGCACGGCTACATGGCACATCACATCAAAAATATCATTACAACCCTCAATTCACGAAAACTGACTCTTTTTTTTTATAGAGGCAGGTGGATTTTAAAACGTTTTCGTGCTGTTACGTGCAATAGACCAATAGGTTTCTCGCAAATTTTTGGATACCCCATTTCTCGATGAAATTATTGAAATGGCGGATTCAATTTCAAAAAAGCAGAAAGGTTTATGCTACAGATCTTGGAAAGTTCTTATTTGCCTATTTCCATTTTTCACAGCTTTTCCCGTAGGAGTAGGACATATTCTGAAAATGCATAATTAAAAGCCATCACACTCAAAATATCCACTTGATTATGCCTGATGAATGGATAGGAAAGTGGTCTCACCTCTCCCAAAGGTAGAACCCGTTGTCGTCCATGGTAGGGATCGTATGCTGGGGATTCATCTGCGAGAATTCATTTATAAGGACGTTTGAGAACAACCAAGACTTCGGAGTATAGTCCACTAAATCATGTCAGCAGAAAGTGAGCTGAATATATTAATTTCTTTTCCTTTCTCTGTCTTCTCAGCTGGAATTCTAGCATTTCTAGATTTTTATAACCTAAGGATTTTGTTCAAGATCTAAATGAAATAGATTTAAAAAGGGTCTATTGAGTTAAGTGGGGAGAAATGTGCTTACAGCAATATATTTAGGCGTCATGTGCTCCCCATTGAGAAGGTTGGTGAGCTTGCAGTTGAGCTCCACACCCAAGGCCTTGGCCGTGAGCAGGACACTCCTGCACGGAGCACTCGCTGGCATATAATAAAAGTCGATTTTCATCTTGGATTTCTGCACCTCTGAAAGAACAAATCAACATTTCAGCGAAGGTTGTCCCGCTTCGTTAAAAAGGAGGAAACAACTAGCTTGATGACATGGCGGCTGAAGAGGGACCAAATATGCCAATGCCCTGCCACGGTATGATGCTTTTGACGACATGCGAAGGAACATAGCCTAGACTAGGAAATTCATCCTGCTACCTTTACCTTTAAACTTGAAAAGGGCTCCTCACTTAGCTTGGTATTTTTATTGTCAGTCAGTTTCTTACGCAAAGCTACTCCTTTAGAATACTACTAAAACGTAATTCCTTTAATGGCAAGAGCAAGGGGAAGTAAAAAAAAAGTCGAATCATAGATCCTGACAGAAGTAAAGGAAGCATAGAAAATTAGTGAACTCACAGTTAATAGGTAAGTAACACTTCAGACTTCGTTGCAAAAGGCGAATGTACGGATCGAATGGACGAGCGTACCTCCGACAGCTATACTAGCAAGGACGGGACTGCGGACGCAGCGAGGCCTTCATCCCGTCCTATACCCACGGGCCTCGCATGGCATAGTGCAGCGGTTCCCAAACTGTGGGTCGCGTACATTTTCCCGGTATAAAAAATCACTATATCCGCATCCGCTCAGGATAAAACATGCCCTGCAGAAGTTTTCTTCACTTCATGATTCCTCTGAAAATACCTCATTCTGGATTCCGGTGGGTCGAGAAATTTTTTGAACGTCAGCAAGTGGGTCGCGATTCAACGAAGTCTGGGAACCGCTGGCATAGTCCATAGTCATAGCTCCCCATATTCAATGGTGAGGTCATGAACATCTCGGAAGAGGATTTTGTTTTTGTCAAAACTCTGTCGCTTTGCCATCAGGCTTGTCGTTTCATGACTACTGGTTCATGAATTTTTCCTCTTATTCCATTTTATTCTTGGCTCTATTCAACCAGAAAGATACAACTTGGCATATTCATGAATTTGAGCGGAAGATAAGGTATGTGTACCAGATAAATTTAATTATTACTTTTTCGAATCTAAAACTAAAACGCGGATTACAATTCTGCCAAGTACCAAAGTTACTCAGTGTTGCATGATGTCAACGTTTGTGCAAGGTTACATTACATTTTTTTTACTACCCCTGTCAGAAACTTCCATTGGACGAGATTAACGTCGCAACTCAAGCAAGATAACCTCAGGTTTTCATCAGAAATCTCTAGTGCGTTGCGATCCGAAACGTCATCGGAGGTCGTGTTTGCACTCGCATGGACGATGCAATATGAGGTTATAGGTGGTTATGTAATACCACGCTGGAAATACCTCGTAGAAGGTTCTGGAAAGTCGACTCGCATGGTGCATGGCCTCACCAGATAAGGTCTTCATCACTCCATTTTAGCAGCGATGACTTGACGTTTTTCTTCGTCCGGAAGTAATGACTATGGTGTCGTCGACGAGTTTCTACATGTTTTGTGGGGCCAGAAGTGGCCGGAAGCTTGGCATTCTTCATTCACTTCTCTTCTGTTGCAAGATTCGGGTTTTCGGATTGCATGAATATGCCTGTTCGAGGGGACGGGTGCTTCATAATTTGACTGGTTCCATTCATAAATTACTTGCATACGAATACCTTTGCCTACATTTTCCTTTATTAATAATTTCATATACTTTTATATGGGTATAGATGAGGAGAGCGTAGCAACTGCACTGGGAGGAATCGAAAAAATTGCCATGGTACATGGTATTTTTGTTTATGCGTTTCTGTTCCTCGTCGCTATGCAACGGTGGATCAATGAGACAGACGATAAAAGCGATTGTGCCTGTTTCCTATCTTTAGCACCTTCATTTATCAAAATTCTACCGCTTTCCATTTCTCTTCGAGAGCACCTGGGGGGACGAAATTGGGCATTCTGTATTCTGACCCTCAGAATACAGAATTTCGCCAGCTAATTTGAAGCTCCATCTCCCCGGAGTTGGGAAGAACACAGAATCTCGTTCCACTAACCCCACCGAAAAGAAAGATATAGACTTGAAAAGTGAGATGTGTGCCCTTCCCGTTGTTGGCAATGCACCACCTCTTCGTAAAGAAAAAAAATGAAATTAGCTATCTTTTGCTTAGGCTTATCGTGCGGGCTCCAGTCCCCCTTCCCCCCACGGCTGCCAGATATCGTGTTGGAGTTTTGAGGGATTCATAAATGCTTGTTTTTTTTATGCACGATACACTTTGTGGGGTATGGGATGAGGTGAGAATGAAACAGTGGTTAGCGGTAGTCGATCGATGTACATCGATGCGATCGATGTAAAGTAGCATTGAAGGAAATTGTCAACACTGGAACCGATTCCAGATGAAGAATCGAATTCCACTTGGCCTACATACGATGTTGTGCCGAAAGCAATGGGATATTCGCTCCGACCGCGACGCTTTCAGTCTCAGAAATCCTTAAACGTGGTGGGTAGGAGGAGGGATGCGAGAGCTACATCCACTTGCAGGCCCTGTCGGTCGGCGTCTCCTCCCCCCTCGCAACGATCTATTCATTATAAGAGCACTCTTTCTTAATTGGCACGTCCAGATGAACGCAGTGAACGAAAACTACAGAGGACTGGCTGAATAGGGAAAAAATGTCCCATAGATTGCCACTAGACAGACACCACGCGTAAAGTGAAAATTAAGGCATTTTGTCTTACCCTTTATCTCATTACCTTTCATATGGAAGGAATCCGTCGTCTTTGATCGTGGGGATGGTGTGCAGGGGATTCATCTGTTTCAGATAAGCATGATGTGTCCATGTTTCTGGGCATATTGGTGTCAGTTGGAACAGAGAATCTAGTTATAAGTGAATACCTTGAGAAATTCTTGAGTCCTCACGAGGGGATCCGTCTCGAGGAGGTTCAACTCCACTCCCACTCCCTTCCCCATCAGCCTCACACTCCTGCATGATGGGGGGGGGGGCTTGGCAGCAGGTAATACGGGGCGATAAGCATCTTTGGGGGGGGGGGGGGGGGGGGGGGGGGCTTGGCAGCAGGTAATACGGGTCGATAAGCATCTGAAAAGGGATTTCAGTCAATACGAATCAAGCCTTTACCTATGCATGGATGTTTGCCATCGCGTGACATGAATATTTGAAATCTTGATCGAATGATAGCGTGGGATCACGCATAAGCGGTCATACTGTAGTGCTAGGACCAGGATGGCACTTTGCCTAGCACTGTGGGTTAAAAATGAAAGGCCAGTAGGAGTTCCATAATTACTCTATTAACTTGACATTTGAAAAAACTAATAAAAGGGTATAAAAATAAATTTAAAAAAGAAATCTGTGAAAGACAATGAACAGTGGGTTCAGGCCAAAGGCCGGAATGTAACTAACGGGCAAATCAAATCATGCTTATGATTCATTCATTGGACGAGGTAGAGCTCCAGCATAACCCATCTATTAATCATGGATTTCCTATGTATAACATATTTTGTCTATTAGTTGAGAATTTGTTAAGTCAAAGAAATGTTCTATACATTTCAAGATTGTGATTAATGAGCTTATCTCTTATGAGCTTATCTTATTCTGCTCCAGATGAGTCGAACCGAGATTTTGAGATCGTCCCGAACCCACTTCTTTCGGCTCGAGCCCGCTTCAGCCTTATTCGCGTTCCTCCTTTTCCGGCCAGAGCCAACAAAAAATGTATTGTTTTTTATTCTGGGACCCAGACATTCCGGCAGACACTTGGCTCTTATCTTCAGAGAGCCTTGGGCGCTTCCCATGTCCCTTTCTTTTTTTTTTTAATCCATGCTGTATTATATGCCGTACCAATTCCTCGAAGGACTCGAATATGACAGAGCAATTGAAATATTATCCTTTCCACACCATCTTGGTCGCGGAGAACAATACATGCAGTGGCCCGGACCCACTTTGCGGGCTTTAGGCCTGCTCATGTCTACATTCAGCTGAAACTAGATCGTCTGGCTTTAAGGGTACGAGGGAATGCAGAGGAGAGTTGTAGGTCTAGACCAGGGATGTGCAACCTCTATCGGCAGTGGGCCACATGGAAATGTCTGACTCTTCACGCAGGCCATAGAATGCAAAAGAAATGGCTCCCCTCTTTTGCCCTCAGGTCATATGAGGGCCTAATGTCACGCTGATTGGCTGATGACCCTTACTTCTTCCCCAACCCTACGAAATTCCAACTCCAAAAAATAGCCTTTGGCATCGAGAACCTTTTTCCTCGGGACATACGAGGTCTGACAATAAAATAACGAGACTGACAACACTGTAATGCGTGTGGCAACACTGGGTCACTGGCGATTGCTGTAACCTGTCAGTGCATGTCTTAAGTCTGTGTAGTAACAAACTTGTCATGATACTTCGGAGATTGCAGAGCAGTACCTTTTACCTAAAGTAGTGTTAGGGGCACTCGTCAAAAAATGGGTGATAATATAACTAACTGAAGTCTTTGAAATGTTGAACTTTCCATTAAAATCAATCGTACTGTCTCTTTATTGGTACACAGTTCTTCGGCAATCATTCTGACAATAAGACGACGATCACTTCGCACCAGAGTTCTCACATTTTTTATGTTTTCATCCGATTTTGAAGTTGTCGGACGTCCAGGTCGTCTGTCAAACTCAACTTTTTCCCTTCCTTCAGAAAAGCGTTTACACCATTCAAAGACATTTTGCTCTGAACATAGCCTCATCTCCGTACACTTGTTTCAACATTTCAAAGACTTCAGTTGGTTTTTTCCCGAGTTTGAATATAAATTTCACGATAATTCTTTGTTCATAATATTATCACCCTTTTTTTTTACGAGTGCCCCTAACACTACTTTAAGTAAAGTGGTATTGCTCTGCAATCATTAGAAGTATCATGACAAATTTGCTACTGCACAGACTGAAGACATGCACTGACAGGTTACAGCAATCGCCAGTGACCCAGTGTTGCCACACGCATTACATTGTTGTCAGTCTCGTTACTTTATTGTCAGACCACGTATGTGGCACAGCCTGCGTGAGGGATAATTAAAAGGAAGCGTAAGGACTAAGGGATGACCAAGGTTGTGATGGGCCTCGGGTCGCAAAGAAAATTATCTGTTAAGCATTATCGGGGGTTGCACATCCCTGATCTGGACAGTCCAGTGCGCACGAAACAGGAAAGACCATAGTGTATACGTATACCGTAAATACGGTCTGTTGAAAAGAAATGAAAGTCCCGTGGCTGTGGTTTATTGCGGAAGCGAAATTGCTCTCGTTTTGGGTAATTGTAGGTAGCGAAAAATGCCCTTTTTGTTTGCGATGCACCATTTTGCCATTAAAAAAAATGAAATTAACTGTTTTTTATTTAGGCTTAGCGTACTGCCTCCAGTCCTGTCCCCCGGTGTTGTCGGATGTCGTGCTTGAGTTTTGTGGGATTCAATACTACTACTGCTCTCGTATCGGTGTCTGGATTACTATTTTTTAATGTATGATATACAGTAGCGCTCAAAAGTATTAGCACGATGTGAGTTTTCGGCGTAAATCAACTGAACGCTGAGAAAATGCGTTCCAACTGGAACACAACATGCGAGACTATTTCAAACTGATCATTGTAGTTTGATCACAGAGAGATCGTTTTGATTTTTTTTTTATTCTTGAACCTATTTTCGGTTGTTGGCGTCAACTGTGCACCTGTAATATTAATCATTCTTCAAAAAAAGGTGAGACGACATTTCGAAGTTTGACGATACTTTAAGAAAGAGAACTGCCTAATCCATCATTCCCAGCATGGGAAAGGTTCCCGAGCTATCCAGTGCGTCCAAGTAGTCGAGGTCGAGGAGTCAGCCCCTTGCATCGGATTAACGGGACGATGAACGCTGAGGAGTACAACAAGATCCCGGAGGACATTATGCTGCCGTACACCAACGCGAATATGGTATCCTGCT